AGGTTATATTGTTGCTTTTGTGAGGATGAGTCCTGGGATTTGAGGTCTGATTATGTCCCTGTAGTGGGAGCATTAACAACAACGGTGCCTTCCTGTTGATCATAATCTTGACCCGGCTAGTATCTGTGTGCCAATATTTGTTTTAACAGTCTCCATTGTCAGTAACTCACAATGTAATTCTAGTGCATAAGGTCTCAGCAACAATGCAACAATATGTTACTGATCTCAACTGGTCAATAAACTCTAAGCATTTCTGCTCAATGAATTAATGTTCATTTTGCAGGCAGTAGTAAAATGGGAGCAGATCATAGTGTGATTCATTTCTGTAATTGTTTACTATCTCGTCTTTTGAGTTTCCTCCAGTGCACTCAGATTTAACTCAATCAATAAGGCGCTACTGTTTGTACTCCAGGAGCCCTTTTCTTATCTGTATAATTTTATTTGCTAATGTAATATTAATTAGGTATCTCCAGCTATTGATCATGTTGTCCTGTTGTGTGACAAAACCAGCTATGTATTAAATCATTCGCTGGAACTTGCGGAGATCGACTGGCTTAATGGAATGTCTTGTGTTTTTCCCATTACAGGTGCAACAACCGAACACAATGTGTTGTGGTAACGGGGTCAGATGTGTTCCCTGACCCTTGTCCAGGGACCTACAAATATCTTGAGGTCCAATATGAATGCGTCCCTTACAGTGAGTACAGATCTTCCCTTCTAATCTGTCTGCTTTCTTTGGCTTAGGAGGTGTTTTGCAAGAATCTTGAATGTTAATCGTTAAACTCGTCTCTTTTATAAAGAGTATACTGGAAAATGCAGTACTTTCTGGCTCATTTGATGCTCCCATCTCTGATTCACCCAAAGCACAACTAAGATTTTCCTGAGGTGTAGACTTTAAGATAGTGCCTCCTGTGCAGAAATTTTGTCATGTCTTGTATGTGTAAATTCCATGCCATTATTGTAGCACCTCAAGCCACTTGGAACTCAAAGAGCAGTGTGAGTAAGACTCAGAACCACTCCATGGAAGTGTTGGCAGGATCCATTCTCAAACATCCATCCTACTTGTCAGCAAGTGTAGCTTCTAAGATGTTCAGAGTTATCAAATTCTGACCTGAACTTGACATTCATGTCATGAACTGCAGCTTTTCCACCACCACACTGCTGTTAAAATATATAAAGCCTGCTCCAAAGGGGAGTGGCTGCTTCTTGTCAAAATGTAGGCCTGCAAGTGGGAATATCTGGGCGTCTGAACTGTTGGGGGGGTGGGGTGTGGGAGGAGTCCATTAAAAGATCATACACCTTCTCTTTGTTCCTGCTGCGTGTTTCTCTGTAAGCCTCGTAAGATAGATGCCTCTTCTGTTGTGTTCAGAAGTACCATCTGCAGAATGGTAGCCCACTGTGCATCATCTCTCACAACATTCCACCTCCTGTGTGTGATGTTGCTATCTGATGCAATCATTCTTCCTAACCTGTCAGCCTGCCAGAGGAACGGTGCAATATGTAGAGAACGATTGTTTCTGTTAGCCGTGAAATTTGCTTTATTTTTTATCAAGTCCCGCTCAATGCCTGTCAAATATATTTCCTAGTTTTTCTTTACTTTTGTTTAAAACGCTGAAATGTAAAGTGGTCGACCCCGAATGTGATCCCTCGCTGACTTTAATGTTAGGAAAAGTGTACTTCAGTAACTGAGGATGGTGTAAAACTTGGGACTTGTAGAATCAATCAAATTAGAACCGTAGATCATACAGTACTGAAGAGGTCCTTTGGCCCATCGAGTGGGCACCAAAAAAACATTACTCTAAATCTACACATAGTCTTGAATGTTATGACATGTCAAGTACCTATAAGACCATAAGAAACAGGAACAGGAAGAGGCTATTCAGCCCCTTGAGCCTGCTCTGCCATTCAATAGGATCGTGGCTGATCCCTTTCCACACACCTCTTGATTCCCCTACTGACCACAATCTATCTATCTCAGCATTAAATATATACAAGGATGAGGTTGTTAGTTAGCTTGCCGAGCTGGTTATTCCATGGTATGCAGACATTTCATTACCATTCTCGGCAACATCATCAGTGCAACCTCTAACTGAAGTGTTGGTATTCTGCTCCATTCCAAATTATATGATCCTCTGGTGCGCTGGATTTTGTTACTTCTGGTTCTGTTTTTTTAGCAGCGGTCTGTATACGGGGTCTATTTCTACGTGTTTGACGCACTGCTGGTAAAAGTCAGAACCGGAAGTGACAAGACCCACCACACCAGAGGATCATATAAATTGGGGATGGAGCAGAACACCAACGTACCGACGAGAAGTCACATTGGTGATGTTGCCAAGGATGGTAATGAAACGTCTGCACACCATGGAACTAGCTGGCCGAGCTAACAAACAACTGCACCCACAGGCTGAGCAACAAATTTTCGCAAAGACCTTAAAAATATATGTAAGCCCTCTTCGCCCACAGGTCTCTGTGGCAAGGAGGTCCAAAGACTCACAAACCTCCGAAATTCCTCCGCATTCTCAGTCTTAAACTGGTACCCCTTTATTCTGAGATAATGCCTTCTGTTCCTAGACTCTGACCTGAGAGGGGGGTGACGGCCTGGTTGTCTTACCACTGCATTGTTGATCCAGTGAGCCAGCTAATGACCTGGGGATCTGGTTTGATTCCCGCCATAGGAAAAGGTGGAATTTGAATTGGATAAATATCCCAAATTAAGAGTCTAATAGTGACCATGAATCCATTGCCTGAAAAACTCACCTGGTTCACTAATGTCCTTTAGGGAAGGAAACTGCCATCCTTACCTGGTCTGGCCTACATGTGTCTCCAGACCCACAGCAATGTGGCTGACTCTTAACTGCCCTCTGGGCAATTAGGGATGGGCAATAAATGCTGGTCTAGCCAGCGACACCCTTGTCTGATGAATGATTTCAAAAAAAAGGGAGGAAACATCCACTCAGCGTTTACCCTGCCAAGCCCCTTAAGAATCCCATGTGTTTCAACAATATCACTTCGAATCCTTCGAAACTTCTGTGAATAGAGTCACAACTTGTAAAGCCTTTGCTCACAAAACAATCTCTCCAAACCAGGGGATCATTTTTTAAAATTCATTTTTGTGGGATGTGGGTGTCGCTGGCTGGCCCAGCATTTCTTGCCCGTCCCTAGTTGCCCTTGAGAAGGTGGTGGTGAGCTGCTTCCTTGAAACGCTGCATTCCTCCTGCTGTGGGTTGACCCACAATGCTATTAGGGAGGGAATTCCAGGATTTTGACCCAGCGACAGTGAAGGAACGGCGATATATTTCCAAGTCAGGATGGTGAGTGACTTGGAGGGGAACTTGCAGGGGGTGGTGTTCCCATGTATCTGCTGCCCTTGTCCTTCTAGATGGAAGTGGTTGTGGGTTTGGAAGATGCTGCCTGAGGATCTTTGGTGAATTTCCGTAGTGCATCTTGTAGATAGTACACACTGCTGCTACTGAGCGTCGGTGGTGGAGGGAGTGGATGCTTGTGGATGTGGTGCCAATCAAGCGGGCTGCTTTGTCCTGGATGGTGTCAAGCTTCTTGAGTGTTGTTGGAGCTGCACTCATCCAGGCAAGAGGGGAGTATTCCATCACAGTCCTGACATGTGTCTTGTAGGTGGTGGATAGGCTTTGAGGAGTCAGGAGATCATCCAAGTACTTTTTAAAGGTCATGAGGTTTCCTGCCTCAACTACCCTCCCAGGCAGTGCAATTGAGACCCCTACCACACTTCCATTCCCCCACCCAACACCACCACAAATATTTACCCAGATTTGGTAAAACAAGTACATTTAATGGTGCGGCCCTGAAAAGTGTTGCTGAACAAATAGACCTCGGAGTGCATGTTCATAGTTCCTTGAAGTTGCAGTCGCAGATAAACAGGACAGTGAAGAAGGCATTTGGTGCGCTTGCTTCCGTTGGTCAGTGCATTGAGTATAGGAGTTAGGAGGTCATGTTGTGATTGTACAGGACACTGGTTAGGCCGCTTTTGGAATACTGCGATCAATTCTGATCTCCCTGCTGTAGGAAAGATGTTGTTAAAATTGCAAAAATGTTCCAGAAATGTTTTACAAGGATGTTGCTGGGGTTGGCAGGTTTGAGTTATAGGGAGAGGCTCAATAGGCTGGGGCTATTTTCCCTGGAGCATCAGAGACGGAGGGGTAACCTTACAGAGGTTTATAAAATCATGAGGGGCATAGATAAGGTCTTTTTCCCAGGATAGGCGAGTCCAAAACCAGAGGGCATAGCTTTAAGGTGAGAGGAGAAAGACTTAAAAGGACGTAAGGGGTAACTTTTTCACATGGAGGGTGGTGCGTGTATGCAATGAGCTGCCAGAGGAGGTGGTGTAGGTTGGTACAATTACAACATTTAAAAGGCATCTAGATGGGTATATGAATAGGAAGGGTTTAGAGGCATATGGACCAAATAATGGCAAATGGGACTGGATTAGTTTAGGATAAGTGGTCGGCATGGACGAATTGGACTAAGGGTCTGTTTTTGTGCTTTACAAGTCTATGACTCATTGGACCTCTCGTGTGTCAGACCACCTCAGTTTGATATGTGCAGATTGGCGGTCTAGTTTACAACAGCTCATTTGTTGTGTCTTATTCCTCAGACAGCACGTAGCTCTTTGAAAGGACCAGGATGGTTGAATAGTGCCCCACTGCACTGATACATCAGCCGGTGACCAGAGAAGTGAGCCAGTCCATCAAACATAAGTCAACGCTGGCTTACTTGGGAAATAGAGGACTGTGTAAGACCTTGGGACTTTTCATAAGCAGGGAAATACTCATGTTGGAAGAATTTTAGAAAAGCTGTAGACATATTCTTGATCAGTCGGGGAATCAAGGGTTACAGGGAAAATGCAGAAAAGTAGATGTGAGGAATGTCAGATCAGCCATGATCCTAGAGTATGCTGGAGCAGGCTCGAGGGATGGAACAGCCTCCTCCTGTTCCTATTTCTTATGGTCTCATGGTTTACTCAGCTGCTTCCCTAGGATAAAGGGGTTGCCTTCTAAGGAAAGTTTGAGCTGATTGTTTTCTAATGTCCAACGAATTTAGGCCCAATGAGAGGTGACCTTATTGATACATATCAGATTTTGAGCAGGTTCGACAGGGAGGACATTGAGAGGATTTTATCTCGAATTAGAGGACACAGCTTAAAGGTGAAGGGTGTACCATTTAAAATTCAAATGATGAATTTCTTCTCTCAGTGTGTCGTTAGTGTTTAGAATGCTCTTCTCCAGCAAGCATTGGTGGCTGGGTCAAATTATAACAGTGCCGGTATTTTTAGTGGACTTCATGGGCTCTCAAGTTCTTCGAGACACCCAGTGGTTGTAATGGTTACCATATAAATGCAAGTCTTGTGTTTTCTTTCATTTCCCAGAGCAGTTAGGTGTCAACCCACTTTGCTGCAATGCTGGGTTGACATATAGACCCAGATCAGATAAGGACGGTGATTTCCTTCCCGAAAAGACATTAGCGGACTAGTTGAATTTTTACAGCAATCTGATAGCTTTGTGGTTACCATCACCGTTATTGCTTTGTACTCGTTCAGCCTGTCTGTTCATCCTCCTCTGGTATAATGGACTAGTTGAATAGAGCAACAGATTCCTCCACATGTTAGCAGTTAAAAGGTGAAAGGTATTGTGTGATACTTCAGCTTACATACACACTGTAACGGGC